ATCTATTTCCGAATTAACATATCTGATGCATCCGTTTTCAGCATACATATATTGTAATTTCGGTTTTCTTGTATCTATTAGTTGGATTAGTGAATAGTAGTGGCTGGTATTTTTTTTGTTCTCCTACCCGGTGTCCAGCCTCACTCCCTGGGCTATTTGAACTAGACCATGGACAGCAGAGGAAAATAGGCATGGTGATCTTCTCAACAAATATCTTTATCTTTCGTAAGAGTTGATATGAAGCATATTGAAAAGACAATCCATTACCCAATTGGTTCTGGGATGGTAAGATTTTTACCAGACCTTATGTTATCATGTAGGTTTGCTGAGGTTTATAATAAATAGTGCAGCTTTTAGCAAGTGTTATCTGTCTCTGTCCATCTGCATTTGGCTCCAATAAACGTTGGTTACATTTCTTTGAGTTATTTGTACCAGTAACTGGTTTATGAATGAGTGCTCTTGGAATATCCCATGACTAAGTGACCATTTCCTAGTTCCAAAAAGCTCAGGCTAGTGCAAATATAGCAGAATAAGCTATGTATAATAGACCCTTCCCCGGATTAGCACATAGAGGAAGCCCCTTTTAAGAGTTCATGTCCTAGATTCATCCATCAATGCACCAGTGGTACAATCTGATATATCTGCAAAGACGAACCGTGACATTGTCTTTTTTTCTATTGGACATGATATTTTGTTGGATTGGATAGCAAGGCCAGGGACAGATTCATTAAGGGATTTGTCACACTCTACACCAGGGACGGATTCATTAAGTGATTTGCCACACTCTACACCTGCTTACCATACCCTCAAAGTTTCTTAATACAAATCTATGGAAAATTTAATGTTCAGAATTGCACTCCAACACAAGTGCATTCATCTCTTAATCTCTTTCCTCCAATTTTCTAATCCGTAGAGCCAGTCCACATACATAATCTTGTGCTCTGCGTCCTTCACCAGAAAGATGCAGTATAAAAAGAAGTCCACTAGCACCGGAATCTTCCTCAAAAAGAGGCAGCAAGAGTAGTATGAGTACAAAATCATGCATACTCCATTGGCATCATAGGCCTACCAAGTCAGAGTTAATAACTATAACATATAAAGGGATGTTATAAGCTCTGCACTCAGAAAATGTCCCTGTAGTTCAATATAAGATAGTCAATAAGAAGCAACACAAAGCAAAAGAATAATAAAAATGCAACGCAATATAATGCAATGCTAATGACCCTACTAGCATACACTCCACAGAAAATGTTGTGAGGTGGGACCCATGAGGGACCCGTGAGGTCCATATACCCTACCTGGACTCGAACCAAGACTTTCGTCGATTCTATAAATTTACTTTCAAGTCAAGCCCTTAGACCACATTTCACCACTATAAACATATTGCTTTCAATAAAATCTTGACAAATCAACCCCTCATTAGTGATAAAATACCCAAGTTGAGTTTGAGAAAAGTAAGCAATAACCTACCTTGAAAGTCGAGCAACGTGCCACACATAGACATATATTTAAAGTACTTCTCTTAGTAGCATCACAGTTCTATTATAAGGGAGGAATTTTATCCTTGATAGCAACGCAGGAACTCTTCATAACTGTTAGGGTACCGAATCCCATTAGCTCAAAATCCCTATTGTTATTGTCACCACTCAATGATGGTCCCTCCCCCCTACTTAATTTCACTTCTGGAGGATCCATTCCGGTGTTGATGAGGTGAGAGTAGAAATTAAAAATGTTGAGGAGGAAATGAAGAATATATCGAAAGTTATATGCTTCATTTCTTAATCAACATTTTTAATCTCTACTCTCACCTCATCAACACCGGTATGGATCCTCCAGAAGTGAAATTAAGTAAGGGGGGGGGGGGGTGAGTGGTGACAATAACAAAAGGGATTTTGAGCTGATGGGATTCGGTACCCTAATAGTTACGAAGAGTTGTTGCGGGTCATCAGTGTTTTTCTTTCTTTTGAGAAAATTGAATATCAAAATTTTTGATTTGGGATATGGAAGTAGATGAAATAGAACTGGAAAGAAAGAGAATATCAATGAAATAGAAAAACCCTTATAGGTTGTTGAATTTTTCAGGGGATATGAAACTGGATAGCAATCGAATATACTAACATTAATAGGTTAGAGGGAAAATAATGAAATTGGGAAATCTTTTTCATTTCTTGACTTTTTTGACTTTTTTGAGATATGGAGGAAGAGAAAATTGGAAATTAAAAGGAAAAGAGGAAGAGGATGAGATCTGAAAATTGAGAAAAGGGAGAAGATGAGATCTTAAATTGAAGAAAAAGGGAGAAGATGAGATCTGAAATTGAGAAAAACGGAGAAAGATAAGGTCTGAAATTGAGAAGAAAAAAAGAAGATGAGGTCTGAAATTGAGAAAAAAAGGAAGAAGATGAGATCTGAAATTACGAAAAGAAAAAACTAAGGGAAAGAGAGAGATAGGGAAGATGGGTTACAATGAAATTTGTTTTATAGCCTAGATCAAGTTATAAAGGAAATGAGTTAAACGATGTGGGACTTAATATGACGACACGTAGTAAATTTGGTATATTTTTTTTTTAAAATGGCTAATAAAATATGACGTGTTGTTAGATATGACCTTCTATACCCAATTAAACCGTGGCATGAATAAGCCATAGTAATAACGATCATAGCAAAAGTGGTACCTAATTTATCTTCTATAAAGACATCAACAACAATTAAATGAGAAATTGCCAAGAGAAATATATTCCTAAAAAGGAAAAATAACTACAATAAAATAGTGTGCTAATCAAAAGTACAAAAGACAAGTAGAAAGTAAATAAAGTCGAAGGACAAGAAACTATAGGAGAAATATCAAGGCTACCGCTAGGGGTGTTCACGGGTTGGTTTGGGTAGGTTATTGGTCAAAACTAAAATCAAATCAATTTAATTAGTTTTGAAATTATCAAAACCAAACCAAATATAATATACATTTATCGGTTTGGTTGTTTTCGGTTTTGGTTTGGTTTGGTTTGGTTCGGTTATTTCGTTATTAACCATACAAGAAAATAAAAGAAACAATTCATTCAAAACGTGAAAAAATTGACAACAATCCATTCAAACGAAAAAATAGTTAGAATGACCGGCATTACAGAACTTTGGATCATTAAATTTACTGAATAAAACTTCAAAATTCACTATTTTGGCATAGAAGGAAGAGATAATGATATTTTCAGTCCTACAATGAATTTCCATAGATACTCATATACATGAAACCAATAAGAAAAAGGTTCTCACCTTGGACATTTTTTCTTTCATAAGTAAATTATAAATAAATTTTGATGAAACATATATAAAATCTTTAAAATTGTTTATGAATATAATATATTATGTATGCATAATAATAAAATTTATGTATATAACTTGTTGGTTCGGTTCGGTTATTTCTTCAAATTTTTTCGAACAAAACCATAACCAAACCAAATACTATCGGTTCTTAACAATCTAAAACCAAACCAAACCAAAACCCAAATTAAATCGGTTCATTTAATCGGTTTGATTTGATTTTTCGATTTGAATCGGTTTTAATCCAAACCATGAACACCCCTAATTATTTCCATTAAGTTTTTCACTTTATTTAAGTCAGTAATAATACTTTTGATACCATGTTTGTTATTGACATATCTTTAGGCAAGAATTTTAACAATTATGCATGTGACATACACATTCAAGCAAATCAATAACCTTCTATCTAAGGTCATGTCCTTGGTATATTTATAAGGCATATTTTCGCATTTATGAGCCAACTTTTAGAATTTACGCAACTTTCTTGGTTTTTCGTATGTATTAACCTATAGTCCCGTGATTTTTAAGGCATATGCTTGAACCATCACAGTCTAGCTTCCTGCATCGTGTCCTTTATTAAGACCACTCCTATCTTATTTCGGATATCTTCATTCTTAATCGAATCTCTCATAGTATTCCGACATATTCACCACAACATTCTCATTTTCTCAATTTTAATATTGTGAACGTAAGAGTTCTTGACTAGCCAACACTCCGCCCAATACTCTAACCACCACTCTGCAGAACTTGTCTTTGAGTTTTGATGGCATCTTCTCATCACACAATACTTCAGATACGAACCTACATTTAATCCACTCTGCATCAATACGATGTGTGACATTATCATCACTTTGTCCATTCCTTGAATAATAGACCCAAGATACTTGATCTTCCTTTCTTTTGAATGACATGTGCATCAAACTTCACTTCTACTCCACCCTTATATTAACATACCAATAAATTAAAGCACTTCAATTTAAAATCTTAAGGTAAAAGTGTTTACAAACTCATAAATCCTAATAGTAAATTATCACAAGTGAAAGAATGTTGTAAAAGAAAAACCTTAAACTCTCTAACACAATTAAATATGTATAAACCCCTTTAAAATGTTAAAGTAGCCTTGAATTGTTAATTGGCTAATTGCCATTTAGTAAGTCATATAGTTCATCCATCTAATAAGTCATTTATATAATGCATAATCTTGACTTGAAAAGGAAAAAATAAAGAGGGTACCAAAAGGTTCATCTTTATTGCTAAAAACTATGTTTTTCCCTATGGCCTAGACACAATTGCAAAAAGAAAAACCAATACTCTAGTGAATTAGCTTCAACTACCCTGCACAGACTTCATATCATACCCTTAAAGTTTCTTAACATAAATCTATGGCAAATTTAATGATCAGAAAGTAACATGGCATTGCCCTCCAACACAAGTGCATTCATATCTTAATCTCTTTACCAAAAATCCAGCTGACAGGAACGGGACTTCGCTGCTTGGCCCTTGCCTGTGCTCTCTCCTCCAATTTTCTAATCCTCGGAGCCAGTCCACATACATAATCTTGTGCTCTGCGTCCTTCACCAGAAAGATGCAGTATAAAAAGAAGTCCACTAGCACCGGAATCTTCCTCAAAAAGAGGCAGCAAGAGTTGTATGAGTACAAAATCATGCGTACTCCATAGGCATCATAGGCCTACCAACCAGAGTTAGTAACAATAATGTACAGAGGATGTTATTAACTGTGCACTCAGAAAATGTCCCTGCAGTTCAGTATAAGATAGTCAATAAGAAGCAACGCAAAGCAAAACAATAATAAAAATGCAACGCAATATGATGCAATGCTAATGACCCTACTAATCCTCCAATTTTCTAATCCGCGGAGCCAGTCCACACACATAATCTTGTGCTCTGCGTCCTTCACCAGAAAGATGCAGTATAAAAAGAAGTCCACTAGCACCGGAATCTTCCTCAAAAAGAGGCAGCAAGAGTTGTATGAGTACAAAATCATGCGTACTCCATAGGCATCATAGGCCTACCAACCAGAGTTAATAACTATAACGTACAGAGGATGTTATAAACTGTGCACTTAGAAAATGTCCCTGCAGTTCAGTATAAGATAGTCAATAAGAAGCAACGCAAAGCAAAACAATAATAAAAATGCAACGCAATATGATGCAATGCTAATGACCCTACTAACATACACTCCACAGGAAATGTTGTCAGGTGGGACCCATGAGGGACTTGTGAGGTCCATATACCCTACCTGGACTCGAACCAAGACTTTCGTCAATATAGTCTGTCCGATTCAATAAATTTACTTTCAAGTCAAGCCCTTAGACCACATTTCACCACTATAAGCATATTGCTTTCAATATAATGTCAATCTTGACAAATTAACCCCTCATATGTGATAAAATACCCGAAATTGAGTAAAACTTGGCAATGATGTAATTTCAAGTCATCACCCGAGTTAAGTATGAGAAAAGTAAGCAATAACCTACCTTGAAAGTCGAGTAACGTGCCACACATAAATGCACAGACATATATTTAAAGTACTTCTTTTAGTAGCATCACGGCTCAATTATAAGGGAGTAATTTTATCCTTGATAGCAACGCAGGAACTCTTCATAACTGTTAGGGTACCGAATCCCATCAGCTAAAAATCCTTATTGTTATTGTCACCACTCAATGATGGTCCCTCCCCCCTACTTAATTTCACTTCTGGAGGATCAATACTGGTGGTGATGAGGTGAAAGTAGAGATTAAAAATGTTTAGGAGGAAATGAAGAATATATCAGAAAATAATTCTGTTGGAAAGTTTGAGGAAATCACGTCGTTAGACGTAAAGGACTATGAAGACCTGGGGTTGATAATAGAACTAGAGGAATTAGGAGAAAGTAGTTTTGAAAATTCTAGCATATATTTTAATGTACCATATAAGGTGTACAACACTAGCTTTTTCAAAATTACTTATCCCTAATTCCTCCAATTCTACAATCAATCCCAACTCCTCATAGTCTTTCACGTCTAACGACGTGATTTCTTCCAGCTTTTCAATAGAACTATTTTTTGATATATCTTCACTTCCTCCTCAACATTTTTAATCTCTACTCTCACCTCATCACCACCGGTATTGATCCTCCAGAAGTGAAATTAAGTGGGGGCAGGGGGGAACCATCATTGAGTGGTGACAATAACAATAGGGATTTTGAGATGATTGAATGGATTTGGTACCCTAACAGTTACGGAGAGTTGTTGCGGATCATCAGTGTTTTTCTTTCTTTTGAGAAAATTGAATATCAAATATTTTGAATTGGGATATGGAAGTCGATGAAATTGAATTGGAAAGAAAGAGAATATCAATGAAATAGAAAAACCCTTATAGGTTCTTGAATTTTTCAGGGGATATGAAACTAGAAATCAATCGAATATACTAACGTTAATAGTTTAAAGGGGAAAGAATGAAATTGGAAAATCCTTTTCAATTTGAGATATGGAGGTAGAGAAACTTGAAAGAAAATGAATTGGAAATTAAAAGGAAAAGAGGATGAGATCTGAAATTGAGAAAAAGGGAAGAAGATGAGATCTGAAATTGAGAAAAAAGGAAGAAGATGAGATCTGAAATGGAGAAAAAAAGAAGAAGATTAGATCTGAAATCGGGAAAAGAAAAAATTAAGGGAAAGAGAGAGAAAGGGAAGATGGGCTAAAATAAAATTTGTGTTATAGCATAGATCAAGTTATAAAGGAAATGAGTTAAACGGTGGGGGATTTAATTTGACGACACGTCGTAAATTTGGTATTTAAAATTTTTAAAAAATTGGCTAATAAAATATGACGTGTTGTTAGATATGACATTCTATACCCAATTAACCCGTGGCATGAATAAGCCATAGTCATAACGATCATAGCAAAAGTGGTACCTAATTTATCTGCTATAAAGACATCAACAACAAATAAATGAGAAACTGCCAAGAAAAATATATTCCTAAAAAGGAAAAATAACTACAATAAAATAGTGTGCTAATCAAAGTACAAGAGATAAATAGATAGTAAAAAACTCAAAGTTTTAAGAACTATAGGAGAAATACTAGGGCTACCGCTATGGAAGGATATGCAAGAGAATATTCTACTACCTATTAACCTTCTAACCTAATTCTTGTCTTCCACAACTTTCTATCTAAGGTTATGTCTTTGGTAAGCTACGACTGCATCATGTTCTATCTAATCACCTCTCCCCAATACTTCTTCAGTCTACCTCTATCTATCCTGAAACCATTCATAACCCCTCACACTTTTACATGGGCATCTGTGCATTTCCTCTTCATATGCTTAAACCATCACAGTCTCGCTTTATGCATCGTGTCCTCTATTGAGATCACTTGTACCTTATTTCAGACATTCTTAATCTAATCTCTCATAGTATGCCGACATATCCACCAAAACATTCTCATTTCTGCAACTTTAATCTTGTGAACGTAAGAGTTCTTGACTAGCCAACACTCCTAGCCATACTCTAACCACCACTCTGCAATACTTGCCTTTGAGTTTTGATGACATCTTCTTATCACACAATACTCCAGATGCGAGCCTACATTTTATCCACTCTGCACCAATACAATGTGTGACATTATCATCACTTTGTCCATTCCTTGGATAATAGACCCAAGATACTTGAATCTTCCTTTCTTTTGAATGACATGTGCATCAAGCCTCACTTCTACTCCACCCTTATATTAACATACCAATAAATTGAAGCACTTCAATTTAAAATCTTAAGGTAATTAGTGCAGATTTTAGAGTGTTTACACACTCACAAATCCTAATCGTAACTTATCACAAGTGAAAGAATGTTGTAAAAGAAAAACCCTCAACTCTCTGACACAATTAAATATGTATAAACCCCTTTAAAATGTTCCCGACTTGATGTGATACAGTAAATCTTTATAATAATACAACAAATTTTGTGTCAAGTTGATTTGGAGCACATTCCACTTGGGAAAAAGGTAAAAGTTGAAAATGCAATATTTTGCTAAGTACTATCTTCTATTTTACTCTATGGTTTGATTTGGAATACATTTCAGAGGTGAAAAAGGTAAACATCTAATCAAGGAAAATGCTATAGTAGCCGTGAATTGTTAATTGCCATTTAGTATTTCCAAACCAACAAACAAAGCATTTGGCTTGTGTAAATGCTTTTTGTTCCCCTGGAACTCCACTGTTTTAGAATTTTTTTATAAATAAATCAATGTGCTTCCATCAGGTCAATTGATTTTATAGTTCTTCAAATACAAAATAGATGATAACTTTTCTGAACTGCTTTTTTGTTTTGTACTTACACCTTGAATTTTGTTTTCCTGGAGTCGAAGAAATCCTAAACTTTCTTCTTCTTTATTCAAATTGTAAATGACTTTGTGACCCTTTCCTATTTCCAAATAGCGCTGGCCTAAGTGCAAATATAGTAGGATAATTTATGTATAATAGACCCTTCTGACCCTTCCCCAGACCTCACGCATAGCGAGAGCTTAGTGCACCGGCTGTCCTTCTTAAAGAGTTTATATCCTAGATGCACCCATTTAATAAGTCATATATAAAATGCATTATCTTTACTTTAAAGGGAGATTAAAAAAAAGAAGGTACCAAAAGCTTCATCTTTATTGCTAGTAAATATGTTTTTCCCTATGGCCTAAACACAATTTGCTGGAACAAAGCTAACTTAGTAAGGGCCTATGAGTTAGAAGTGGTGAAAAAGATTGGGCTGAGTAAAATGTTGGAGCATTTTATTTGGGAATCAGACCCAATTAGCATCTGGTTAAAAGGGAGAAGTGGTCTGAAAGAAGGGGTTATGCTTGTTATGAAGAAAATCTTTGTTCCTCTAATCTTCTTCTAGATCTAAGTTTCTCATCCTCATTCTTATATATTTCCTTAGTTACTTGTTATTTCAAATTTTCTATTGTAAGTCAATAGTTTAAGTGTTGCCGTTGTAATTTGGCTATCAGTGATTATATAATACTTGAGTATTTGTGTTGAGATTTCAGGTTTGTTACATTGGTGCTTTCATCCATCGGTCTCCAACAATGGCGATGTTTCTACCTTGATTCAGCGGCGACGGCATCCCAGAGAGCTGGATTTTCAGGCCCAGTTGTACTTCACAAATCTTGGCTTTGACGAGGATGATTATTTTCCCCTTCCTTCATTCTACCTTTATGGTGAAGCTTATTTCACAATAAGCTAATTTTTGATTGGAAGCATTTCAAGGGTAAATTTGCTCAGTGGTTTCAATAACAAACCAACAACAATGTAGTGGGGCGTCTAGCTAATTCATCACAAGTTCATTTTTGACTGCGTTAATTATGTCCCTATAGTTTCACAATCAGCTGTGGTGTCTCCCAGTCATTTTCCAGCATCATCTGCCCTTGATTTTGCTTATGAAACTGGTAACTCAAAGGCGGACCTTGTGCTTTATAAATTGCCAGAGACGTATTAACATGTGGATTCCTAGGCATTGATTACTGGAAGTAATACTGAGACTGAAGCTCTTAAAGACAGGTACTCACCTCATACAGGGAATGCAAAGTCAGTAGAGGGAGCAAATTTGGTATCGGGACCTTTTTTCAATGCTGAAAACAAGGCGTTCGATGAAATGTCACACACAACAGTGAGCTTTGAAATTGTCCACGAGGGAGAAACTTTGCAACTACAGTGCGACGATAGCTTCTGTGTAGATGTCAGCTTGAATACAAAGGTGCCTACTGCGATGTTAGATGATATGAAAGAATCTAATACTGAGGAGGAGGACAACCCACGAGATAATCTAGCTTTGTTTGACAAAAGTCCTAAATGGGATACATCGGGTTTTTCTGGTTCCTTTTTCTAGCCAAGGTACTGTAATGTTGAATGTGAGTATGCAAATTGCTGTAATCGAATATCCATTCATGGTGTCTAATGGGATCACACTATTCCTTGTTTGCATAATTCTCTTGAAGAAATGTGTGGGGGTAAACAAACTAGAGTGCCGCCTTACCTTGTCTTTAGCTTACACAAATGCAATTGGGTTGATACTGGGCAGGAGTGCAATCTTCCTTGTTTCTTGTCGTCTAACTCGAGAGGGTGTGGTAGTGAGAAGAAAATGGAGGAAGTACTCCAGGTAAATTGTTGTAAGTTCCTCCAAGCAGTCACCATATACTTGAGCTGTTAAGCTCTTGTTTGCTATGTTTGTTCTAGTCCATAAAGCAAGGGTGACTTCGTCGTATATTGTCTGTGATCCTGGTCCTTATCTTGATTATGTCACGATCTATGCAATAGACTCTACTTTTGGAGATGGAAAATCCATAGAGGGGGGGGGGGGGGGGGTAACAGTACTATTTGAACTCCCAGGTGTGAAGTTTCTTATTGGGCAAGTACTCTCTGTGCAAATTGGTATCACTTCGGACGTTTGCAATAAACTTGGCGCTTATGTTTGCTGTCATTTGGGACATGCACATTTTTCCATTAGGAATCTGATGTCATACTATAGATGGTTCCTTTTGTAGTCCCGTGGACAATTGGCTCGACACTGTGCAGGATGATATAGGTGGTGCATTGATTGCTAATGAATCTTTAAATTGGTTACACTGCAAAGTTGTATGATTAGGGGTTTGTCGATGGAGTTGAAATTGATATTCAAAGTTATGGTGCTTTCAACACTTCGTTTGCAAGTTACAAACTACAGAGGATTGATTTCACCAAATGTATTTTTGCTGCCCAACGTTGAAATGATGAGGTATCATATTAAAATCTGTTTGATCCATTTGTGAATCTGGTCAAAGCTAACAGTCTTGTAGAATATTAAGTATCTGTTCAAAGCTAATAGTCTTGATGAAATATGATGTTTGTTATTTATACATATATATATATATATATATAAAAAAAAGTAGCATACATTTATATGATACATAGTGACCTGAATTAGTTACATCTATCTATTTCCGAATTAACATATCTGATGCATCCGTTTTCAGCATACATATATTGTAATTTCGGTTTTCTTGTATCTATTAGTTGGATTAGTGAATAGTAGTGGCTGGTATTTTTTTTGTTCTCCTACCCGGTGTCCAGCCTCACTCCCTGGGCTATTTGAACTAGACCATGGACAGCAGAGGAAAATAGGCATGGTGATCTTCTCAACAAATATCTTTATCTTTCGTAAGAGTTGATATGAAGCATATTGAAAAGACAATCCATTACCCAATTGGTTCTGGGATGGTAAGATTTTTACCAGACCTTATGTTATCATGTAGGTTTGCTGAGGTTTATAATAAATAGTGCAGCTTTTAGCAAGTGTTATCTGTCTCTGTCCATCTGCATTTGGCTCCAATAAACGTTGGTTACATTTCTTTGAGTTATTTGTACCAGTAACTGGTTTATGAATGAGTGCTCTTGGAATATCCCATGACTAAGTGACCATTTCCTAGTTCCAAAAAGCTCAGGCTAGTGCAAATATAGCAGAATAAGCTATGTATAATAGACCCTTCCCCGGATTAGCACATACAAAAGGTTCATCTTTATTGCTAATAACTATGCTTTTTCCTATGGCCTAAACACAATTGCAAAATTTTATACAAATCTAGTGAAGTAGGTTTAAACTCCACTGCACAGATTTCAAACCATACCCTCAAAGTTTCTTAATACAAATCTATGGAAAATTTAATGTTCAGAATTGCCCTCCAACACAAGTGCATTCATCTCTTAATCTCTTTCCTCCAATTTTCTAATCCGCGGAGCCAGTCCACATACATAATCTTGTGCTCTGCATCCTTCACCAGAAAGATGCAGTATAAAAAGAAGTCCACTAGCACCGGAATCTTCCTCAAAAAGAGGCAGCCAGAGTAGTATGAGTACAAAATCATGCGTACTCCATAGGCATCATAGGCCTACCAACCAGAGTTAGTAACAATAATGTACAGAGGATGTTATTAACTGTGCACTCAGAAAATGTCCCTGCAGTTCAGTATAAGATAGTCAATAAGAAGCAACGCAAAGCAAAACAATAATAAAAATGCAACGCAATATGATGCAATGCTAATGACCCTACTAACATACACTCCACAGGAAATGTTGTCAGGTGGGACCCATGAGGGACTTGTGAGGTCCATATACCCTACCTGGACTCGAACCAAGACTTTCGTCAATATAGTCTGTCCGATTCAATAAATTTACTTCAAGTCAAGCCCTTAGACCACATTTCACCACTATAAACATATTGCTTTCAATAAAATCTTGACAAATCAACCCCTCATAAGTGAAAATACCCGAGTTGAGTTAGAGAAAAGTAAGCAATAACCTACCTTGAAAGTCGAGCAACGTGCCACACATAAATGCACATAGACATATATTTAAAGTACTTCTCTTAGTAGCATCACAGTTCTATTATAAGGGAGGAATTTTATCCTTGATAGCAACGCAGGAACTCTTCATAACTGTTAGGGTACCGAATCCCATCAGCTAAAAATCCTTATTGTTATTGTCACCACTCAATGATGGTCCCTCCCCCCTACTTAATTTCACTTCTGGAGGATCAATACTGGTGGTGATGAGGTGAAAGTAGAGATTAAAAATGTTTAGGAGGAAATGAAGAATATATCAGAAAATAGTTACGAAGAGTTGCTGCGGGTCATTAGTGCTTTTCTTTCTTTTGAGAAAATTGAATATCAAAATTTTTGATTCGGGATATGGAAGTAGATGAAATTGAATTGGAAAGAAAGAGAATATCATTGAAATAGAAAAATCCTTATAGGTTCTTGAATTTTTCAGGGGATATGAAACTGGATAGCAATCGAATATACTAACATTAATAGGTTAGAGGGAAAATAATGAAATTGGGAAATCTTTTTCATTTCTTGACTTTTTTGAGATATGGAGGTAGAGAAAATTGGAAATTAAAAGGAAAAGAGGAAGAGGATGAGATCTGAAATTGAGAAAAAGGGAAGAAGATGAGATCTGAAATTGAGAAAAACGGAAAAAGATGAGGTCTGAAATTGAGAAGAAAAAAAGAAGATGAGGTCTGAAATTGAGAAAAATGGAAGAAGATGAGATCTGAAATTACGAAAAGAAAAAATTAAGGGAAAGAGAGAGATAGGGAAGATGGGTTACAATGAAATTTGTTTTATAGCCTAGATCAAGTTATAAAGGAAATGAGTTAAACGATGTGGGACTTAATTTGACAACACGTAGTAAATTTGGTATATTTTTTTTAAAAAATGGCTAATAAAATATGACGTGTTGTTAGATATGACCTTTTATACCCAATTAACCCGTGGCATGAATAAGCCATAGTAATAACGATCATAGCAAAAGTGGTACCTAATTTATCTTCTATAAAGACATCAACAACAAATAAATGAGAAATTGCCAAGAGAAATATATTCCTAAGAAGGAAAAAATAACTACAATAAAATAGTGTGTTAATCAAAAGTACAAGAGACAAGTAGAAAGTAAATGAGTCGAAGGACAAGAAACTATAGGAGAAATATCAAGGCTAGCTCTAGGGGTGTTCACGGGTTGGTTTGGGTCGGTTATTGGTTAAAACTAAAATCAAATCAATTTAATCGGTTTTAAAATTATCAAAACCAAACCAAACCAAATATAATATACATTTATCGGTTTGGTTGTTTTCGATTTTGGTTTGGTTGGTTTGGTTCGGTTATTCGGTTATTAAACCATACATAAAAATGAAGAAACAATTCATTCAAAACGTGAAAAAAGTGACAACAATCCATTCAAACGAAAAAATAGTTAGAATGACCGGCATTACAGAACTTTGGATCATTAAATTTACTGAATAAAACTTCAAAATTCACTATTTTGGCATAGAAGGAAGAGATAATGACATTTTCAGTCCTACAATGAATTTCCATAGATACTCATATACATGAAACCAATAAGAAAAAGGTTCTCACCTTGGATATTTTTTCTTTCATAAGTAGATTATAAATAAATTTTGATGAAACATATATAAAATCTTTAAAATTGTTTATGAATATAATATATTATGTATGTATAAAATAAAATTTATGTATATAACTTGTTGGTTCGGTTCGGTTATTTCTTCGATTTTTTCCAACAAAATCATAACCAAACCAATGACTATCGGTTCTTAACAATCTAAAACCAAACCAAAACCCAAATTAAATCGGTTCATTTAATCGGTTTGGTTTGATTTTTCAGTTTGGATCGATTTTTATCGAAACCATGAACACCCCTAGCTACCGTTGTGGAATGATATGCAAGAGAATATTGTACTACATATTAACCTTCTAACCTAATTCTTGTCTTCCACGACCTTCTATCTAAGGTCATGTCCTTGGTATGGTGCAACTGCATCATGTCCTGTCTAATCACATATCTCCAATACTTCTTCGATCTACCTCTATCTATCCTGAAACCATTCATAACCCCTCACACTTTACATGAGCATTTGTGCACCAATACATCAAATTAGCGGGCTAATATCGATACTATAGCTATATTCTCGGATTGCGTATAGTCACACAATTTTTAAGATATTTTTTCACTTTTACGAGTTAATTTTTAGAAATTATACCATATTTTTATTTTTTCGTGTGTATTAGTCCATGGATCTAGCGCCTTAGAGCACCAATTTTTGAAAAAACTTTATGAGGACCTCCGGAATGAGTTGGGAAGTATTTTGTATAGTCCAATTATTTTTAAAGCATATTTTCGTATTTACGAGCCAACTTTTAGAAATTACGCGACTTTCTTGATTTTTCGTGTGTATTAGCCCATGGATCTAGTGTCTTGGAGCACCCCAAAAAGAATTTCTAAAAGAACTCTATGAGAACTCCGTAATCATCTGGGGAAGCATTGCGTAGTCCCACAATTTTTAAAGCATATTTTCAAATTTCTTAGCCAACTTTTAGTAATAACGCGACTTTATTGGTTGTCGTGTACACTAGCCCATGGATCTGATGTCTTGGAGCACCCAAAAAAAATATCTTGAAAAAACTTTATG